CATAAACTCACGCTGGGCGCATGTCCGTGCGTGTCCAAGATCCCGAGAGGAGAATGGAGGAGAAGGGATTGTGGCGTGGCCATCCCCCATGTGGGGTGATTTCTCGCTTTCTGTCTCTCTGTCTCTCTCTGTCTTTGTCTTTCTGGCGAGCGCACATGCCTTATAGCAAAAAAAAAAAAAAAAATAGAACTCTCAAAAAAAAAGAATGAATAAATAAAGTTAAATAATTCTTTTTAAAAAAACAATGCTGCAATGAACATCTTTTCAAAAAGTACATAAATAAATCTAAAAAAAGAAACCCCAAACCCTGGCATCTGGCATCTTCACTTTGTATGACTTCAGGCAAAACCCTTCACTTTTGGGTCTCAGTCCCTGCCTGTGAGGTGGGAGGGGGTGGGTGGCCCGTCCTGGCCTCTGCCTGCTGGGGGCCATGCCTCACCGTGCCTAGTTGCTGAAGGGACCCTAGGCAGACAGCCACGCCAGGACACGTGTAACTACGCGTTATGACCTGAAGACGCCTCCTGTCGCTGGCCCATCCTGCGGCCCAGAAAGCACCGCAGAGGACGGCCGAGGGGAGGGTGGAGCGCAAGGGGCCAGCCGCCCAGTGGAGGCCAAGGGGCTGGATTCCATGTGGCCGCCCCGAGAGGAGTCCTGGGCCGATGATTTGAAAGCATGCCAGGCACATCTGTGTGTGCAAAGTCCAACAAGGAGGCGGGGGTGGAGCAGGGACTGTGCGTGACCGTTCCCCACGGGGCTGGACAGGAGCGTGCTCAAAAATCCCCAGAAACGAAATGGCGGGGGTTGTCCAGGGACCCAGGGCCGAGCCTGAAGGAGCCAGAGGACGTGGCTTAGCGGGTTCGCCGAGTGTGGAACACAAGACGTGGGTCCACCTGCCAGATGCGCACGGGGCTGTGGAGCAGCTGTGAGGCTGAGCCCTTGGGCGGCTCCAGGTCTGACTGGACCCTCCTGGGGTGTGCCGCTGACCGGCCGGCTCGCCTCCCTTCTGCCTCCCAGCCTCCCGGTCTCACTCTCACTCGCAGAATAAACAAGTAGTCGATGAACAAAGGCATGGACAGCTAACGTGGGGAGAGGGGACGGCTCCTCATAGACGCCTGAATGCCTTACCTGAGTCCCCGGGGAGAGCTAGCAGGGTGGCTGCTTCTGCAGGACGTGCTACTGCGGTGGGGCTGCAGCTGCGGAGTAGCTGGGGCTGGTCCTCATGGCCAACCTCAGCGCAAGTCCCAGGCCGGGCCACTTGAAAAACAGGCAGAGCACGTGTGCACGTGTACCCAAAACCCA